AAAGGGTACTTGCCTACATTTTAAAGCATTCAGGTAAACTGAAAAAATGGTATGACAGTGCAGTATTTATGCATATTAATGATGTGATAGACTTCAGACAAAAAAGGTATCAAAATCAGTCTGGAAAAGAAGGGCCCTAATGGGATAGAGTTGGAGTCTGATATGGGCTACCAGACAGGATGACAGGCATAGCTCAACAGTGTTATATGGGAGAAAGATGTGTCAGGACAGTGTATCATTACTTGAACCTCCCATACCCATAAAAAAATACTAGTGATCACTGTCAGTTCTGGCTACTTCATCACATGAGTGATGGGTGTATCTTCACCAAGAAGCCAATGAAACAACACTACTGTGGTTGAGTTTGGTTTTCTATTAAGTTTTCAACATCAGATCTGGTAAGATCTGATTTGAATGATCATGACCCAACTCACTTTAATGCAAATGAAATGTTACAGACTTAAGTTCTCTATCGTAAAAGATCAAATTGTTAAAAATTCAGAGAATGAGTGAGTTTAGGAGTTTGCAATTCCTTCAAATGCTCATCAAATGCATAATAAGAAAAAGAAAGACCATTATACATATATTGAATATGATACTAAGACTAAAGATCCTATAAGTATTGGTCTATAACTAAATTAATACTTAATTCACTTTTGAACAGAACAATGACTATACATAGGACGTTAAAGGAAAAAAGGAAACAGAATAAGAGTTTGCAGTCTCTATCCTAAGATGTGCTATAGAAGAACAAAATGAACATTGTTTATATTTAAGGGACACAATGGGAGAAGTTCCTCATAATGATCAGCCAGTCATCTCCAGTCTTGATTTCAATAATATACAAAGTTTTAGTGCAAATAACAGAAGACTTCATAAACTTTGTGTGTGCTTGAAAAATGGGAGAAAGCACAATCCGTATTTACCAGAATTAGACTGTGCCCAGCTAACTTCAGTCTTTGAATAAGCTATCTCAATTTTTCAACTAACTAACTAGATCAAGTCCACATGACATTCAGTAAAGCATCTGACTGAGACCAACATGGGAAACGATTAGTTAAGCAGCAAATGCGAGCAATCTGTACAACAGCTGCCAGGTGGGTAACATACACATTAAAGGGAACATGAGGAGTAATGGTGAAAAGAGAACTGTAGGATAAAGGAGGTTTCGAAGAGGTGATCAGCCATGGCACCTACCAAATAATCTAATCAAATCTTATATATCACCACCAACAATCTAGCCACAAAAATTAGAAAGGGGTTAACAAAATTAAGGACAAGAAGTTGGACAGCACACTTGATAGACAATATTAAACTAAATAATAGAAATTGCCTAAATGTCTGTGAACAGCCATGCCTAAATGCCTGCGAAAGCCATCTCTCCCTTTTCATTACACAGTTAAATTGCATGTCAAGTTAAATACTTAGGGTAGGTGGATACATACACCACCTGATGCAGCCAGAGAGAGGGCACACAGGATGTCAACCAAGGTACTTCCAGCAAGGAAAAGTATCAACGTCAGCTTAATGTCAGCACAGAAGGCTCAAATGAGACCTCCTGTGGAGCTCTTCACACCCTGGAATACCACCTACCTTTCTGTTCAGTCAAGCCCAGGAAAAGTGGATTCAAGCCGGGAGAGGGCCTGATGTTCCCAAGCACAATGGTTAGAGGAATGGTCTATCACCAGTGAAGTGCCCAAAAGAGTTTGGCTGGTTTAGCTTGGAAAAAAGGGGGCTAAGGGAGGACAGGGACTAAACTGGCACAGTCACTAAACACGAAAGTCAGTCAGTCTCAGAAAAAACGGGAACAAAATTAACAGAATAAATAAATTCTGTGTGGAAATTAGAAGGTAACTAGGTATTGCAAAAACAAGACATCAGGATACTCTTGATAATATTTACAGTAGATGTTACTGCGGAAAAAAAACCACCAAGAAACCCTCCTTTTCCTTTTGAAAGCAATTGTAACAAGGAAATATTTACTTCACAAGAATAGAACATATTTCTGTCTATCCTATCCAGGTATGTCCTCAGACAGCCCAAGGCCTAAGGAAGCTGATTTTCAATCTGCAGAACTAAAGTTAGAGTCCATGTATTGCTAGAAACAGATACCTTAAACACATTATATTATAATATTCAAATAAATACAGAAACTGTATTTCATGATGTCATTTGATTTCACAGAAGCAATTTCCTTTTAAGCAACATCTAACAATATTTCAGCATGCAGAACAGTATTACTTTGCATATAAATGCAGAGACATCAGTACTGATCAATTTCAATGTAATTTAAAACTTAAGTGCTGTTATACTGCATTTCCTCAGTTTGTAAATCTGTCTACCACTTCTTACCAAACACCACCTGCACCAGAGAAGAGCTTGACCATTTGCCTGTCGAATACTCCACCTCCTCCCTAACGACAGAATCCAAAAAAAGACCATGAAACTTAAACATATGGGGAAGAGGAAGGGCTAATGAATGAAAATGGCAAGAGTTTACAACACCCTTGGAGCTGAAAAATGATATTTACATTTAAAACATGAGTGGGTAATGCAGTGTGACAAGAGATCATTTTTGCAATAACTATGGGACATGGAAAACACAACTCAGTGTTCAAATAACTGATGAGCCTAGGACAGCTCTTTTACCATGTCTTTAGTTTATCCTTCTTTTGACCATCAAGCGCCATAGCGTCTCTGCACTGAACAGGGAGAACTTCCCTCACAAGGCTCTCTGCAATTTACTCTTCTACAGATGCACGCTGGTTTTCTGTGACATTTGTTACCTTTCATGTGAATCAGGAACATATTCAGTTCCTATATTCAGGCTAATATACTGTATTCTGTTTCCACATTATCCTCCAAATCTGGACGTTCCCAAAATATTCCAGATCATCTGCTCACATGTCCATGCGAAGGGAAACTAGTATTTCTTGTCATACCTCTCTAGTGACACCCTCACCAGCGCCTGGTTAAAAACTTCTCTGCTACCATTCAAGAGCATCATAACCCACTCCAAGCTTGCCAGTAACATGTCTTTTTTGCTTCCCATTAGTTCCTATGCTGTACAGGCACAACATCAAAATCTGAAATTTTAACCCATTTATATAATTACTTTTTAAAATTAACTATTTTTAACACACACCCCACCATTTTTCATGCTTTGTAAAGAAGAACACAAATATTAATATCCTTCTCTATTTCTATACAGAGTTTTCTGGAACACAAATGTCATATTTCCCATGTGTATGCATGTGTACTTCCACACAGGTGAACATATACAATGTACACTGTTAATCAGTGTACATTAAAGAAAAGCAAACAAACTTTGAATTCCTCTTTTTCCACTGTAAAACTTTACAAACATGCACTTCTGATGGAATTTTAATAGATGTTCATATTAACAGATTTTCTCACAAGAAAATCTGATCAGAATATACTCCAGCTTCTATATACTTATAATAAATCTTGCAGTATCAACAATTTTGTTTTATTACTAAGCATATAGATTTTATGTTACAGGTTAAAGAGTATCTCATTTCTAAAGATAAACATAAAAAGGCAAAGTAACCACACAGCTGCAAAATTCGTAAGGCTGTATTTTCAGGCCACATTCTGTGCCACATCTGACAGAAATGGAGGCTCTTTTTTCACAACTGAAGTTTTATCATATATTACTGGGGAAAAAAAAAAAGGGTGGTGGAAGTTTTGGTTCCAAAGCATGACATACAACTCTCATTTGCAAGTTTACGCACTGCACAGTACCACCAGTGAAACACAAACTTGGGTTTTGAAAACAAATCAAATACTTCCAGGTTCTGTTCCTAACACAATGTAGCTATTGTGATGTCTTCCAATATCATAACACTAAATAAAGTGCACTTATCACACATACTCACAAACAGGGGAATCCCATTAGTAAGTGACCATACAAAGAAAACAAACTAATTGGTAGCACAGAAGAGGAAATCCTGTCCTCACAGAAACCAGCAGCAAATTCCAATTGATGGTGGCAGATCAAGAATTGTATCCATTGTTTTAGCCATCATGAAGAATACACCCAAAAGAAATAAGTATTTTCTAGCCTTCTTTAGAGATGAACTATACAGGTTTCTTGTACCACTAATGATTAAAAAAATTGTAAAAAAGTGAATTAAAATCACCAGTGAGACTTAAATTCCGCCTCATTTTTATAGCTCAGACGACGGCAGGAAGGGGAAGTAAGACTTTTCTATAAGAGTCTTAATTCACTGTTTGTTAGATATCCTGAGAACACTACAGGAAAGGTGGTTTTTTACTGCAAAGTTGTGTATGTGTTTGTTCCCTTTTTTTTGCCCACAGCTGCAGACAAAACAAAGAACATGGACATGAACAGCACTCTGAACAACAGTATAAACCCTCACATAGTTTGCAGAGAGGCTTTGCAAAAAAAAAAAAAAAAAAAAAAAAAAAAAAAAAAAAGGAAAAAAAAAGAAAAAATAGGCCAAATTATCCCTTAGATACAGCCACACAATCACATGCATCAGGATTCATGCACATACCTATTTTAAATTATTCCCAAAGGATGCATTCTCTCTCTCATCCTCTGTACAACTCCTCTGGAGCCAGTAATATAGATCCTAGCTCTGCATTTCCAAAATATAGCTATGAACACACCTCCCTTGGTTTACTGTCAGTTCAGGCATTCAATGATCTTACAAGCAGTTAATGTCTTTGATGGCAACACACAGTGAAGAAAATATTTTTGTAAGGCAAGGTGCTATCCCATGATATGTAGTTGCTGCTTTTTCTACTCATGAGGTTTTCCTTTATTAGACTATCTGGAATACTGTAGACGCATCCTCACTTCATGTCCTTCACCAGAGGTGCCGGAGGCAAAAGTTCCATTGATTTAAGACCTGAGGCTGAATCAAGAATCCCAGTGCTTTAGGAATTTATTTAGAAATGGAGGCTATATGGTCTTTAAGGCAAAAAGAGAAAGGAACACAAAACACACTGAATTTGTATTACGTGTGCTCCAGAAGGTCCTTTTTGTTCTTTATTTTCTCTTTTAAGTTGCCTTTACACTCTACAACCAACAGAGCAAATTAATTTTCCCAAAGGATGGAACCATTTATCCATTTTTGGTAAGTCCAAATGCATTAACAGGTGAATTGATGTTGGAAAGTCTCGGGAGCCCAATATCCATGAAAATTCCCAAAAGGAAAGGTAACACGATGCCATTTTTTGTTATTGGTGTCATATTTTAAGGCAAAGGCAATGCCTGACTGGTTCACTTAGCTTCTTGGCAATTCTTTCCAGATTTTTTCAAGGGAACATCACATATTCAAGAATATTCACCAGTTGCAGGTCCAAAAACAAGATGGAACCTGAAGACTTCTCTAAAAACAATTAGCAGTAATCAAACAATTATCCATAACACCTAATACCATATACCACTTGACACTTTAGTTTTTGCGCAGACTCTTCCACAGAATATCCACACATGAAGATGGCAAGTCTTATTATCACAAATGAGAAATCTGCAACAAGCCTTCACATCCAGTGAAATGTCACTGAATCCAAATACATACAGACACTTTATAGTACTGCACACTATGCACATGTGTTGCTCAGTACAATAGAAGAAGCCAACCTGGTTAGTCCCGCACGATTGCCTATGTAGTTTTGGAAACATTAGCCCTGTACTCTGCATACCATATGTATTTATAGCACATACTGAATATATATATACTATTGCAAATAATAACAGAAGATGGATCTAGTTCTGAGACAGACCGGTTCTGAGAGCAGTACAGGAGTGGAGCACCCTTGGAAACCATTCTTGACTATTGGAACTTGCCTAACGAAGATGACAGTGTCAGCTTTTCCTCACATTCCCTCTCTGCACTCCTTGAGGTCATCCACTTTCTTAACTACTTACTGCCTGCAGCTTCCTGACTTCCCCAAAGCTGAAAAAGTTCAACTCAAACATACTGAAAAACCAAAGACTGCAGGTCACACACCGAAACAAAGGAAATGTTAATGCATTTGATGACAAAAGGAGTTATGGTTACAAGAGTCAGCTCACATTCCCTACAAAATTCAACACCCTTCCTAAGCCTTAGACCACCCTGGGTGCTTTGCTCCTACATTACCATTAGCACAGTAGGGTTGCTATTCTCCCAAGTGTGCATATCTCCAACAGAGACCCACAATTTTATTCTATTCTCCTGTACAGATATATTCTGGTTTGTATCCTTGTGTGTATGAAAAAAAGTTACTCTAAAATTCATTATACAAACTACAGATCCTCCCAGACACCTTCCCATTCCCACATGAAGCAAGCCTTTGCAAGACTATGGCTGCTGCAAAGGCACAAAACCTCAGTGCAGATGGTTCCCAAGGATCTTGCAGATGGTCTTGTAGTATCCAACAGGCTACCTGCCCTTTTCTTCCTGTAGGGATGGTGCTAAGGAAGGACTTCTGAGATTCTTTTGTGGAGTTTCCATCAAAACCTGTGGATTATCAGTCTCATGCACTTACTTACTCATGCATTTCAACTTAATTGAAACACCAAAAATTACTTTACAGCAAGTTCTGCTTTGGAGTCTAAATCGTTAGGCATACAAAGAGCTAAGTACATCCAAGACAGAAAGCTGGATTCCCATTAAAAACCTAGTTGCAGGTGTTCATGGAGCAGTGATAATGCAGTGGACAAAGCCTTCTTTTCCTCCTTCCAGTAAATCTGTATCTTCCACAGACAAACAAGGAATGCCATCAACTACCAGCATACACTAAGTTATGTCCAGCTCTGTATTTCTGCATGACTGGAGTCTTCTTGTGTATTGATGCACTCAAGTGTGTGGCTTACAAAATATTCCTGTAATGATAGCAGGACATTTGTGAAAATGCTGTTCAGCTCAAAGCACAGTAGACCACGCAACAGTGAGCACCTGACTGAAGGCAGTATGTCATGCTGAAGATCTGCAAGGAGAACAAAGCTTTCAGCGTGCCACTTACACTAAGCCATCTCCCTGAGGACCCCAGTCAACCCCCTTGTACACAATAGATTTTTCTTGCTTGAAGCAGCATACGAGACCACGAGGTAGGGGGGCTTTAGGGAGGCAAACACTAGGAACTGCTCTCTTCGCATTTAAACGTATATCAGAAATATAATTCCCAGACGTATTTCAGTTACATGAAATCCAATCTTGACTTTTTAAGCAAGTCTAATACATCGACTATTTGCCCACTTGGATGATGTGGACGCTCATTCATTACATGAACTCCAAGGGATAATACACTCCAAAGTTATTCATGAGGTAATACGATTTGTCTTTACTGCAGTCATGATACAACTGGATGCGAATCAAAAAGGGCTTCACTCTGCAAATAATACATAAAGAAATGTGTTATAACATTCAGGAAGCAGAACCTCAAATATACTTGCTATACTGGAGGAATCATTCACGTTACTGGAAAAGACTTAAAATATTAGGCTAATAAATTATGATTTCATTTCCAAGGAAAGAAACAGCAACCATTTTTTTCATAATTTTTGGGTAGAGCTGCTTGCTGACGTTTACGTCTCCACTACAACACCAAAAGCACAGCAAACAGTATTACCATAAAATAGCAAGTCCATGAAAATAAACGAAAAAACCCCATAGGATTTTAGAATGCACAATTTCGAATTCAAAGAGCGCTGTGTACAAACCCAACTTTGCATTTTACCAGCCCTCCTTTTCTTTTTACATTTCGCCACGACATAACCGGATATACAAAACGCTACAAACGTGGAATAAAACTACAAATTCTCTTCCTTAAAATAAAAGGTTACGCTTGTAATTACAGGACTTTGACATATCATTTTGTGCAATTACTAATTAACTAGGACCCCGCGATAGAATAACGCAGAAGTAGTGATTTTCTTCCTCGAGAGCTGCTCTTGCTTCGTTTTAAATGAAGTTCCGCTACAGTGGGAGGGAAAACCCCACCGACATACGAACATATGCTCATGGGGCGGCGGGCACCGCGGGGAACAACCGCTTGTCGTGGGTCAGCGCCAGCGCAGCGCGGGTCTCGGCACGCTCGGCCCGGCCCGGGGCAGCCGCATCGCCCACTCCCCACGCCGGGCGCGGCCGGCGGCGGCGGCGCTGGGGGCAAGCAGGACAAACAAAGCCGCGGCACCCCGCGCCCCCCTCCCGCCAGGGCTGCCCCGCTCCGCCGCTCCGATGCGGGGCTGGCGGCGGGGCAGGGTCGCACCGCCCCCAGACCGCGGAAGAAGGACCGGGCGGGGCCAGCGCGGGGGGCTCTGCCCGCGGCACCGCACCGCGCCGCCGCAGCGCCACTCACCGCGCCGGCCGTGCCTCGCCGAGCCGCGTCGAGCGGGCTGTGCGGGCGCGCCGCGGCCGCCGCAGGTGCCGCGGAGGAGGAAGCGGGGGCGGGCGGCGCTGCCGAGCCAACCGGCGCCCGGCGCGGCGCCGTGAGTCACCAGCGGCCGCGCAGGGCGGCCGGGCGGCGGTATAAGAGCGCCGCGGGGACACCCCACCCCCTCTGTGCATGTCTCCGGCTGCCGCCTCTCTTCGTCGCCTCTCCGACCGCGGTGCCTGCCTGCCCGCTCGCCCTCTCCCCGTCCTCGGCGCGGCGATGCGGCTGGACTGGCAGCGCGGAGACCCGAGCGCCGCGGCCGACGGCGCCGGGCGCGGCACGGAGCGGCGGGCGGTCCCGCGCTGCTGGGCGCTGCTCCTGCTGCTCGCCGTCGGCTGCCTGTCCGCCGCCGCCGACGGTGAGTGCGGGGCCGAGGCAGCGGGATGGGGCGCGCACCGCCGGGGCAGCTACAGCCGCCCCCCCCCCGGGATGATTTCTTCTCCCGCCACCCTTTCTTTTTCTTTCTCTCCATTATTTTTCCCCCTGGTTTCTCGGGCTGCGTGCCCGCTGCACCGCGGGGAGTGGGGCTCTGTGGAGGGGCGCGGGGCGGGCCCGGGCCCGCGGGTGTGCAGGGGAGCCGCGGCTGCCCCCTCGCCCCTCGTGTCAGGGGAGACGCCGCCTTCCGCGCCGGGCCCCGGGCGGCGCCGAGCCCCCGCGCCCCGGGCTGCTCATCTCCCGGGAGCGACCCGGGGGCCATGGGGGGGCCTAATTTCCTGCTCCGTGCTGAAGGGAGGGTGTGCGTGGTTGGGGGCTACGGCGGAGGTCTGGGCAGGATGGGAGCTCTGCTGTGGAGAGAGGAAGAGGAGCGCTTGGGAAGCCTGCGGCGTTAAAGGTGCTGTCAAACTACGGTGCAACTTCGGCTTTGTGTTATCCAGCGGTGTTGGCATGGCTCTAGATCAGGGCCCGGGGTAAAACCACCATGAGGGATCTCCACCTGGTGGCAAGGCTGAGCCCTGCCAGCGCCGGGTCCCTTCTCCCGATGCTGGGCGCTCGCCAGCAGCGCTTCTCGTGGCCAGCTCCAGGGCTGCCTCCCGGCGTAGTAGCTGTTTCTCCTGTGGTAGTGGTCATGCACGGGGCTACTGATGGTCATTTGAAAATATTTTCCCCTTAAGTGGAAGTAATAATCATTTGGCTGACTCCTTTCTTCCTTTGGGCACTGAGGTCCAGGCTACTCTCAGGTGGGAGGTGGGCAGTTGATGTCTTCATTGTAATATGGCTCATAAGTCTCCTCACTATAGCCCTAAAGTAGGCCTAAGTGACAAATCTTGGCTCTGTTGGCGAAGTATGCTTAGAGGTAGCCGGACCTCATAGTCTTAACTTGCGCAGTAGGTCACACACCAGGTCTGTTGGGCAGAGCCCAGCCAGGGCATTGTTGTATCCAGTCCTCATATAAAGAGGAAGAGAAGAAATGTCTGCCCTAGTCGACCCTCAATTCCCAGTTATGGGCTCCCGTGCCCAGTCTACAACAGACATGATTAAACAGCTGCAGTATGAAGGGCCAAGCTGTCTGGCACTGAAATCGCTAGTGCAGTGCGCTTGGAAATGATCATAAGAGATGATCATAAGAGATACCTTCCACTGTCCAACTCTGCTAAGTTAGTCAGACTTTTCTTTCAATTTGAGTCAGTGACCCCATCAGCTCTCTTCTACTAGTAGTTACAGTTGCCAGGGTCTGGGAAAAGTCTCAGCTAGTTCATGCTCTCACAAGGTTTCCCAATCACTGTTCAAAGCTTTTCTGGGACTTGGTGTCATATGACAGTACACAAGTGTCACATGTTTGAGGCTGCCCAGACAAGTAAGCTGACAACTTGCTTAAGGGGCTGAGACTAACAGTGATAGCAGAGATATGGAGAAAGGTAGTTTAACTTGGGTAGTCAGTGTTACTGTGCTCCTTCACCCTGCACTCATTTCTGCTTATGAGCCAACTTCTAGTAAGTAGTTACCTGGGGAACAGTAAAATAATACATGTTAGCAATCACAGGCTCTCTCACAGTGATGTTACTGGTTCTCTACAACACTTCTTTTTACTAAGCTATATTCTAAGGAGGAGAAAATGTGTGAAGATGCTTCTGGTGTATGAGTAGCACATAAAGAGAAGCTTTGAATTAATGGCTAATTGATGCTGATCTAAAAAACATTTTATCTAGTGACTGAAGCTGCAACTGAGGTATGATTCTGTTGCTTCAAATAGCAGTGGATTAGACTGACAGTGTCATGACTAAATGGTTACCTGACATTGCAGAACTATGCTTGATGAAAGACAGGGACCTGTTACTGTCTGGAACCAACTTCATCTTAACTGGAGCTCATTCCAAGTGGCCTTTAGAGTTTGACAGACATCCTCAGGAGCAGCAGCAGATGCTGACCTTTACCTTTGTGCACCTGTGTGGGTGTTAGGTGTTGTCAATTTTTTTACATGTTTGTGGGCTAACAAAAGTAGTTGCTCTGACATTCTGCTTGGTATCAGCTGCAATGATATCTTATTGGATCAGAAGCAATGATATCTTATTGGAATGGCTTGTTGTAAGAGTTTAAGTGTAAACTTATAGCTGTTACTCCAAGCTCAGCTGTGGTTTCATTTAGCCTCGGTTGTAGCTTCCCTATAGCATTTGGTCAAAGTGATGTGATGTTTGTAAGTCACAATGTACTAGGCAGTCTTAGCAAGCCTTTTCTGGTGATTCTAGCTTGAAATAGAGTAACTAAGGACTGTGGAGTTATTTTGGGATCCCCTTAGTGGCAGGCTTAGTCTAATATCACTGTATGCTATTTTGGGAAAGGTTGACTATTCTCACTCTGAAAGCCTGGATGAGAAAGTCTCAAAAGTAGCAGCAGTCATTTGTTGCATATTTTACATAGTAATACAGTAAAAACTGAAATAATGTGATCAGAGCCTGCAAGCAGAAGGCTACTTTTATTAGAGGTTACTGGACAACAAGGTGATGTCAGGCTTAGAGTGAGCTGCTGGCTGCGGCTTCTACACCTGCTCTAAGCTGGCTGGAGTGTGCCTCCTAGCACAAGACAAGCTACTTGTTTGACAGCTCATGACCAAATAGTAATAGCTTTACAAAACCACGCTATTAGCGCATTCTGGAGTATTCCCAAACGGAAAAAGAAATGAGAGATGGAAATAGAGAACGTAAGAGCTGATGTTCTGATTTTTTTACACTCTTTGAATACAGTTCCCATGCAAAAAGTTGTTATGGCTTTACTCTGTCTAACAAGTGGGTTACTGCTTTATTGCACCAGTAAGGCTACTAGAACAAACATTAACAGAACTCAATAAACTGCTGTTTCAAATTTTTGCTTTGACCATGAATTTACGTGGGATATTCAGCAGGTAGAATTGCTCATGTTGTTCTTGCTTGTACTCTGTTCAGGATTTGTGATTGCCTAGTGCCTGATGGGTAGCCAATATAATGTGAAATGTCTCAATAGCTTCCTTCTATTTGTGCTATTTGCACATTATACAGAAAAGATGTATAATAGCAGATAATAATCTTCTGAAGTTTAATGCCCTTTGGAATACCAAGACAAAGTACCTTCACTAAATAATGCAGTAAACCAAGAAGGAGCACAGGTCTTGCATTGTGCTGTAGGCATGTGGAGCCAATACTAATGCATGATCTTACACACTTGCCTGCATGCGTTATGTGAAACAGCTCTGGCTTAGCTGCTGAAGAAGCAGGCTACTGCTTTTAGTGACAGTTATGACATGGCTTCAAGGCAAAGTAGGTTCCCTTAAGGGATGGGGTCATACAGTTGTAGAGCTGAAGATACTCTGGAAAATGCACTCTAAGGACCATGCAGAGAGCAGTACCTTTCTCAACTTGCTTATCAGTTGTGAAACAGACTTGATTGCAGAAGGAACTGATAAATTATCCTGCTCTCTTAACATCACACTTTTTTTAGTGTGTACTAAGGAATGTCTCTGGGAGCCATTGTTTGAGGAGTAACATGAATCGTGAAAACTTATTCAGCTGCAGAGCAGTTATCTAAGCTATCTTTAGAGACATCTAAGGCATTCTGCTATAATGTGTTAGCAGCAGCATATTGAAATGGAAATTCAGCTTGACATTAATCAAATTTAAACCCAGTTTGCTTAAAGTTTGAAGAATTTTGAGAATGCAGTGCTAGGTGCTAGACAGCAGAAGTCGTGTGCACATATCCGTCTGTCTTGCAGACTTGACCCTACCTTGAGAAAAAACAAACTTAAGAACAACACCGAGACTGGTTTGTTGCAGTTTGGCAGGTGGACTGTCATAGTGCTTCAGCTCTGCATTTCCTTCTGTGAAGGAAAGCTTTTGGCTCTGCTTTCATTATTGAATAAGGGGACTACAAAGATTTGGAGCTCACATCTGGTTTCATGCTGATGTTATGCTGGTTAGTAAGGTGGGTGGGGTAGCTTTTTTATCAGCAGTAGGGGAAAGCAAGAAAGTATTGCTAAAAAGTATCCATGCTTAGGTTCCTTTTTTTCATTGAAGGTACGAGAGTAAAATGTGAGGAATCCCAGTTTGCATGTAGTAATGGACGGTGTATTCCTCAACTATGGAAATGTGATGGTGATGAAGACTGTTCAGATGGCAGTGATGAGAGTGCTTGTGGTAAGTAATCAAAATAATACTTCTATAGTAGTATGTGGTAGTTGAAAGTGGGGTGTTACCAGTGAATGGTTGGAGAGATGCTTATCCTGTCGAGCACTTCAGATAGTTGGAATACAAAGAAAACACATTTGTTAGAACAACTGCATGACTATTTTGATGCCTTGTATCCATCCAAGCAGTTGAATTTTCCCTGAGTGCTGTCAAACTTACCTGACATG